TGTGAGTAATACAGTTGGCAGTGTTCTGGCTCCTAATAAGTGATCGGTCGGTGGTTGTATTTTTCCCTTAGAGAGTTGAGAAGGAGTTACAGCTGTACAGAGGGAAAAATACACTCCTGGCACTGGGTCCCTCTCAGAAAGCCACGTTAATATCTTTACTAGGCCATTCACCTGCACCACCTGGTCATGTGTAAAATGAAGATGGCAATTCCAACTTAGAAAGTTAAGAAAATTAAACGAAATAGTAGATACTAATATGCTTTTAAGAAATATTTGGTGTAATGAGATGGCCATCTATGGGGTTCCAAGCATAGGAACCAGTATTAGTATTAGTACCAGATATGGGTTCAAGTCCAAGCTCTGTCACTTTCTAACTGTGATTTTTGGGTAATCTTCCTGAGGCTTGGTTTCTTCACCTATAGAGTTGGGATAATAATAGTCCCTGCCTTGAGGTTCTAATGCCTGTGGTTTAACACTGGGTTTAGTCAGTATTCGCTGTTAATGTTGATGTAGGTATACCATACCTCAGGACACTGTGGCACAGTACTTGTGTAGTTAGGGGGACCCTCTCTGAGCAGAGCTTTACAGAGGAGAAATGGGATGTTTAACCAGGAGAAGAGAAGACTGTGGACCGAACGGTGGTAAAGAGGCAACAGTGGCCCGGAGGTTAGGAGCTTGTGCTCTAGAGCCACACTGCCAGGTTTAGATGCTGCCTCAGTGACTAGCTCTCTATGTCGCCTCAGGAAGGTTACTTAATCTCTTTGGGCCTCAGATTTCTTTTTTTTTTTTTTTTCCTGAGACAGAGTCTTGCTCTGTCATCTGTCACCCAGACTGGAGTGCAGTGGGGCAATCTCAACTCACTACAACCTCCACCTCCCAGGTTCAAGCGATTCTCCTCTCAGCCTCCCGAGTGGGGCCTTAGATTTCTTACAGTAAAATGGGGATGACGATAGTTCCTACCTGATAAGATTGTTGAGACGACAATGTGGGTTAATATGTAAACGGCTCACCAGGCATGATGGCTCGTGCCTATAATCCTAGCACTTTGGGAGGCCGAGGTGGGTAGATCACTTGAGGTCGGGAGTTCGAGACCAGCCTGGCCAACCTGGTGAAACCCTGTCTCTACTAAAATACAAAAAATTAGCCAGGCATGGTGGTGTGCACTTGTAGTCCCAGCTACTTGGGAGGCTGAGGCAGGGGAATCACTTGAACCCGGGAGGCGGAGATTGCAGTGAGCTGAGATCACGTCACTACTCTCCAGCCTGGAGACAGAATGAGACTCTATCTCAAATAAAGAAATAAATATGTAAATGGCTCTTGTATGTGCCTGGCAAATGTTAAGTGTTTAAAAACTGTGAATTATTTTGTGAAGAGCTGTTACGGTGAAGGAAGTGTAATTGAGTTTATAATGTTCTAATAAAAGCAACTTGGAAGCAGGTTTTATATTCTTTTTGTTTTTTGAGATGAAGTCTCACTCTCACTCTTGTCCCCCAGGCTGGAGCACAATGGCGTGATCTCGGCTCACTGCAACCTCCTCCTAGGTTCAAGCGATTCTTCTGCCTCAGCCTCCCGAGTAGCTGGGATTACAGGCGCCTGCCGCCACGCCTGGCTAATTTATGTATTTTTGGTAGAGATGGGGCTTCACCATGTTGGCCAGGCTGGTCTCGGACTCCTGACTCAGGTGATCCGCCCACCTCGGCCTCCCAAAGTGCTGGGATTACAGGTGTGAGCCACCGCGCTCGGCCTGAAGCATGTTTTAGATTCTTTCAACAACACTCAACTGTTGTTTATCGAGCCCCTATTATGTCCCAGGGCCTTAGAAATACAGCATTGAGGCCGGGCGCGGTGGCTCAAGCCTGTAATCCCAGCACTTTGGGAGGCCGAGACGGGCGGATCACGAGGTCAGGAGATCGAGACCATCCTGGCTAACACGGTGAAACCCCGTCTCTACTAAAAAATACAAAAAACTAGCCGGGCGAGGTGGCGGGTGCCTGTAGTCCCAGCTACTTGGGAGGCTGAGGCAGGAGAATGGCGTAAACCTGGGAGGCGGAGCTTGCAGTGAGCTGAGATCCGGCCACTGCATTCCAGCCCGGGCGACAGAGCGAGACTCCGTCTCAAAAAAAAAAAAAAAAAAGAAATACAGCATTGAATAAAACAAAGTCCCTGTCTCATGAAACTTATGTTCCAGTGAGATAGTTTTAGGGTGATATACTAGCAGAGGCTGAACAGCCCTGTTGGAGGGAGATTCAAGTTGCAGGGACCTTCCAATTTAGCCTGTTGACTTCATGAAATTCAGTGGCTCGTTGCCTTAGTCTCTAAGAAGCTTTGTTGGCTGAAACAAGGCCAGTCAGGTGAGTTGTACATGTTCCAGCTGCTTCCTAGCAGGGAATTCCTGAGGGGCTTCAGGGGGTTGAGATCCTTAGCAGATTACACAGTGTGCCTCCCGCTTTGCCCCATTGTGGTATATTTATTCGGATTAAATCTATATAACAAAGTTGATTTGAAAAGTTACAGTATCAAGACAGGTAGAGGGAAGAGGGAAAAAAAAAGTCTTGTGTTACTTGATAGGGAAGACTAAGATTTGGAGCAGACTTTATATAGAGGAGACTCAAGGCGTTTTGTAAAAAATGTTTTCAGCTACTGGGGGTGTCACCTCCCCTTAGACCCATTCTTGTCATCATCCAGCCTATGACTGTAACAGAATAGAGCCCTCCTGCATCTCACCCACACCCCGAAAAGTCCAGGACTGACTATTCTTCCCCACACTCAGTAATTGCTCTCTTCTGGGACAGCTATGTCCTTCATGGTTTATTTGTTATTTTAATGTCTTTAAAGAGTGCCTCCTTTGTACCAAACACAGTGCCAAACACTAGGGATGAAGTGGAGTTGGGACAGACAAGGTCCCTCAAAGAGCTTATGTTCTACTGGAAGAGACATTGAGTAGGCATTCTTTATCGTGCTTTGAAGGAAATAATTATAGCTCTGCAATAAAACATAATGGGGGTGGGAAGAGAGGCAGCTTTGCAAAGGGTGGTCAGAGGAAGCCTCTCTGCAACTGAAAGATGAGAGAGAGATGTGAGAAGAGCTAGGTTTTTTTTGTTTTGTTTTGTTTTTTTGTTTTTTATTTTTTAAAGCCAGATAAGCAGCCTTGGGGCAGAAGGAAGAGAAGGCAGGGAGCTTAGCAACCTGTTGGGTGAAGGTTGGGAGTGGACAGAAGGGGCAAGTGATGATTCCAGGAGGTCAGAGGAGCCAACTCATACAGAGTCTTTTCTTTTCTTTTTTTAATTGGAAGGCATCAAGTGACATATAGAGTCAGTTAATTTTTTTTTTCTTTTTTTTTGAGATGGTCTTGCTCTGTTGACCAGGCTGGAGTGTAGTGGCACAGTCATAGCTCACTGCAGCCTCGACCTTCTGGGCTCAAGCGATTCTCCCACCTCAGCCTCTTGAGTAGCTGGGACTACAGGTCCATTCCAGCGCACCTGGCTAATTTTTCTATTTTTAGTAGAGACGGAGTTTGTTCATGTTGGCCAGGCTGGTCTCGAGCCTCTAGCCTCAAGTGATCTGCCTGCCTTGGCCTCCCAAAGTGCTGGGATTACAGGCATGAGCCACAGTGCCTAGCCTTTTGTTTTCTGTTTTTTACTTTTTTTTGAGATGGAGTCTTTCTCTGTCACCCAAGATGGAGTACAGTGGCACGATGTTGGCTCACTGCAACTTCCGCCTCCCTGGTTCAAGCGATTCTCCTGCCTTAGCCTCTTGAGTAGCTGGAATCAGGCATGCACCACCACACCTGGCTATTTTTTGTATATTTTTAGTAGAGACGGGGTTTCACCATGTTGGTCAGGCTGGTCTCAAACTTCTGACCTCAAGTGGTCGCCTGCCTCAGCCTCCCAAAGTACTGGGATTACAGGCGTGAGCCACTGCCCCCCACTGTGATACCCGGCCTTTTTAAACGACTTCTGACGTACATACAGCAGCATACAGAGTCCTGTAGGCCATGGTGAATAGGTGAAAGGGATGAATCAAGTTCTGGCTTAAGCAGTAGGGTACATGCGATGCCTTTTACAGAGATGGAAAGGATGGAGTCAGACAGGCTTTAGGAGAAATTAGAGTTCTGTTTCAGGACTGCTAAATTGAAGAGATGCAAATAGAGCTGTCAGGTAGGCAGTGGAAAAGGAGTCCAGACTTCAGAAGAGAACCTGTACTGGGAGCATGAATCTCTTGCTTGTTCCTGTTACTAAGTGAAATTTTTTTTTTTTCTTTTTTTTTTGAGACAAAGTCTGGCTGTGTTGCCCAGGCTGGAGTGCAGTGGCCGGATCTCGGCTCACTGCAACCTCCGCCTCCTGGGTTCACACCATTCTCCTACCTCAGTCTCCTGAGTAGCTGGGACTACAGGTGCCCGCCACCACGCCCGGCTAATTTTTTTGTATTTTTAGTAGAGACAGGGTTTCACTGTGTTAGCCAGGGTGGTCTTGATCTCCTGACCTTGTGATCCGCCTGCCTCAGCCTCCCAAAGTGCTGGGATTACAGGCTTGAGCCACCATGCCTGGCCGTGAAATATTTTTTTTGTTCTTAAATTCTCAAATAGGCGGGCAGTGGCTCACGCTGTATCCAGCACTTTGGAGCCAGGGGGGATCACAAGTCAGAGATCAAGACCACGGTGAAACCCCTCTACTAAAAATACAAAAAAAAATTAGCGGGCGGTTGGGGCCTGTAGTCCAGTACTCGGAGGCTGAGGCAGAGATGGGTGACGGGGGCGGAGCTTGCAGTGAGCGAGATCGCCACTGCACTCCGCTGGCGACAGAGCGAGACTCCGTCTCAAAAAAAAAAAAAAAAAAAAAAAAAAAAAAAAATCTCAAATAGATCAAATGTGAATTAAATGGTGAGAAATATTTCTTCTTGTGTCATTATTAGTGAAGATAGATCCATTCTTTCATATTGGTCTCCCTGGGAATTGTGGCAATCTCTTCCTCATACTTTTTGTTTCCTCTTTTAAACCAAAGGTCAGCACCTCATCTATGGACACTTTACCAAAGCAAGTGAAAATTGTGGAAGTTGGTCCCCGAGACGGTCTACAAAATGAAAAGGTAAAGATGGAAATGAGCCAGAAAAGTGTTTCAGGCATCTGCTTTGAGTATAACGTGTGGTAGGTGCAATGGCAGTGGACAGAGCTATGCAAAATGTGATTCCTCTGCACAAGTTAGGGGAGAGTAGAGGAGGCCAAACAGGGACAGGCATCTGTGACAGTTAAATGATCTAAAATGGTGGGGCAAGCTGGGTGGGTGGCTCATGTCTATCATCCCTAATTACTTGGGAGGCTGAGGTGGGAGGATGGCTTGAGCCCAGGAGTTTGAGACCAGTCTGGGCAACATAACAAGACTCCATCTTATTAAAAAAAATGTATATACATATATATACATAAATTGAATGGTGGTGCAACAGGTTTGGTGTCCCCAGGTCCACAGCCCAGTGGGGTGGGGTAGGTGGTGTGGAATGAAGGTGAGGGCATGCCTTTAGACCCAGCAATTCCATGTAATGGGATTTATCCAAAGCAAGTCATGAAGGCCAAATGTAGAGATTTAGCCTTGGAGGTGTTCCTTATGAACCTGTTGGTAAGCGCAGAACTGTTGGAAACAACCTAAATGTTTCATATGAGGAAAGTTGGGTCAGATACATTATGGACTTCTTATAAAATGAAATATTATGAAGCCATTAATAACATAGGTATATATAAAGTGACTCAAGCAGGTTATAAAAGAGTGCGTGTGGCTGGGCATGATGCCTGTAATCCCAGCACTTCAGGAGGCTGAGGCAGGCAGATCACTTGAAGCTGGGAGTTTGAGACCAGGCTGGCCAATATAGTGAAACCCTGTCTCTACTTAAAAAAAAAAAAAAAAAAAAATTAGCTGGGTGTGATGGCGCACACCTGCAATCCTAAGGCTGAGGCACGAGAATTACTTGAACCCGGAAGGCAGAGGTTGTAGTGAGTCGAGATCGTGCCACTGTACTCCAGCCTGGGTGACAGCACAATTCTGTCTCCAAACAAAAATAGTGCGTGTGCGTGTTTGTGTGTGTGTGTGTGTGTGTGTGTGTGTATTTTTTTTTTTTTTTTTTTTTGGTGGGGGAGACAGCGTCTCACTCTGTCACCCAGGCTGTAGTGCAGTGGCACAATCTTGGCTCACCACATCCTCCACCTTCCCGGTTCAAGTGATTCTCCTGCCTCAGCCTCCCGAGTAGCAAGGATTACAGGACTCCACCACCATGCCCAGGTAATTTTGGTCTTGAACTCCCAACCTCAGGTGATCCACCTGCCTCGGCCTCCCAAAGTGCTGGGATTACAGGCATGAGCCACTGCGCCCTGCCATGTATTTTTTTATCTTACACTTTTATGTAAGAAAAAAGTTTGTATACATATGGGAACATTTATCTACACTAGGACCTAGACCAGCACTTTCTGTGAAGATGGAAATATTCTGGACGTGAGCCTTTCCATGTGGTGGCCACTACACCCATGTGGTCCTTGAGAACTTGAGATGTGACTAGTGTGGCCAAGGAATTGAATTTTTATTTTTACACAATTTTTATTAAATTGAAATAACCACATGTGACTAGTGACATATTGGACTGCACAGATCTAGAAAGTTACATACCAGGGTGTTAATAGTGTTATCACCAGAGGTTCTAAGGGTAGTTTTCTTTTGTTTTTGGCATGTTTTTCTGAAAGAATCATATATTGATTATTTTTCAATAAGAAAAGCTTTTTTTCTTTCCTTTTTTTTTTTTTCTTTTAGCACATCCATCCTAGCTTTAATAGTGAGTGCTTGTTGGAAACAATAGTGTGTAAGTTCCTGGAAGGCAGAATCCTATCTGTTCTGCTTATCACTGTATCCCTGGCACCTAGCACAATGCCTGGAACATGGAGGGCTTTTCAAAAATTATTTAACAGGCTGGGCATGATGCCTGTAATACTGGCACTTTGGGAGGCTGAGGCAGGCAGATCACCTGAGGTCAGGAGTTTGAGACCAGCCTGGCCAACATGGTAAAACCCCATCTCTACTAAAATAAATGAGCCATGGTGGTGGCATGTGCATGTAATCCCAGCTACTCTGGAGGCTGAGGCAGGAGAATTGCTTGAACCCGGAAGGCGGAGGTTGCAGTGAGCCGAGATTGTGCCGCTGCACTCCAGCCTGAGCAATAGAGCAAGACTCCATCTCAAAAAAAAAAAAAAAAAAAAAAAAATATATATATATATATATATATATATATATATATATGGAATAGATTAAGTTAGAGCAGTGGGAGAGAAATTGGAGAAGGCAGGCGAAGGGAGGACCTAGTAAGAAGGGCCTGGAGTTTTTTTGTGTGTTCTTTTTGTTTGAGACAGGGTCTTGATCTGTGTCACTCAGTGCAGTGGCACAATTATTGCTCACTGCAGCCTTGACTTCCCAGGGTCCAGCGATCCTCCCACCTCAGCCTCCTGAGTAGCCGGATCACACACGTGCCACCACGCCTGGCTAACTTTTGTATTTTTCGCCATGTTGCCCAGGCTGGTCTCAAACTCCTAAGCTTAAACAATCTACCTGCCTCAGCCTCCCAAAGTGCTGGGATTACAGGCGTGAGCCAATGTGTCCTCCTGGACCTGGAGTTCTTAGAATTTGTTGCCTAATCCTGTAAATCTTAGGGAGCCATAGAAAGCTTTTGATGCAGGAGAATGGAAGATTGGAAGCTGCATTTTAGGAGGATTCCTGTGTAGGATGAATTAGTGGCATGAGACCATGGCATGTTATATACAGAATAATGATGGTAGATTTGGAAAGAGGAATCCATAGAATCTGGTGAGCTACTGGACATGGTGGGGAGGAAGATAAAGAAGCTGTACGCTGAACACATGAGGCTGAAGTCCTGTGCCAGTTGGGAGACAGAAGAGAGGAGAGTGTGATACTTTCGGGGCCCCATCCCATACCCCCTAGAGGGTTAGTCATCTCTGCCCTTTCAGGCCGTCACACGTTGCTCTCAATTTGTTTATGATGGGATTATAAATTAACACACATTTACTTATGGGAAAACCTGCATGGCGGAATAATGTTTCTATGTAAATAACTCTTTTTCAGGTGAGAAGCTGCATTCACTGCAAAAAATTATCTATAGTACTTGAACTAATAGGTACTGCATTCTAAGGCTGTTTTAATACTAACTTTGCTGACCTGGTGTTTCTCCACTATAGAATATCGTATCTACTCCAGTGAAAATCAAGCTGATAGACATGCTTTCTGAAGCAGGACTCTCTGTTATAGAAGCAACCAGCTTTGTGTCTCCTAAGTGGGTTCCCCAGGTGAGCCCTAGCCCTCAATGAGAGGCCTTTCTCCAGGGATGAAAAGTTTTGCATTTGCCTTTGAAGCAAGTAGAAGTCAAGACCATAGGTTTCCAAGCCCCTGGCTTTGAGAGGTCTCAGGTGATTCATAGCACTGTGTTGCAGCAAAAGAACATGGCCCAGGATTCAGGGCCTTGGGTTCAGTCTTGGCTCTGCTCATCTGACTTGCTCAGTGACATTGCTAAGGCCTTTCCCCTCCTGGATATTAGAGATGACCTCTTCTAGCCCTAAAGTCTAAGACCCTCTATGCCTGTCTGTGGTTTCTTTGTTTGTAAAAGAGGAAGACTGACAACTCCTGCTTCACAAAGATAGTTAAGTGGAGAAGATACATCCTGTTACAAAGGAGTGTTTAACACACAGCTGAGCTCAGTGCCTGGCCCAGAGTACGTTCTCAATAAATGGCTGGCAGTAGTATTCCTGCTGTTTCTGCATATGTAAAGCTGGCAGTATGGGCCCTATGGAGAAACTGGGATCTCACCCAAACCACGGGCCCTTGGGACTCAGCAGCAGTCAAACAGTGAAAGTACTGGAGAGACTCAGCTCTGCAGAAGGAATTACTCTCTAAGAGTTCTGGAGATCAGAGGCTTTGTGATGAAAAGGTTTTCTCTAACTGAACTCTCTGCCTGCTCTTGGTGATGGCTTGACAGTGTCTCCCTTGGTTCCTAGATGGCTGACCATGCTGAAGTCTTGAAGGGCATTCAGAAGTTTCCTGGCATCACCTACCCAGTCCTGATCCCCAATTTGAAAGGCTTCGAGGCAGCGGTAAGAGGATAGCTTGTTGGTGGGGGCTCCTGAAATGAGATTGATGGCATTGGTCCCTGCCTTGTCTTGGGGCCTCAGTCCCCTGTCCTGGGACGTCCATCTGAACAGCTTGTCTGTCAGCCAGACCCTGGGGCAGACCTGGCCCTGCCACTCACTGTTCTGTGATGTTGACAAGTTGACAAGCCTATAAAATAGGGCTAAATGATAATACCTGAAGTTGTGAGCATTTCAGAAGATAGGATGCATGTACATTGCTTAGCAAGAGCCTGATAAAAGGTAACTGCTTAATAAATGATAGCTCTTTTGATTATCCACTTCATTAGAGAAAGGTAATCAAGCTCTCCACAAGTTTCAACAGTAGTTGCTGGCATCTGCCAACTTTCTTACAATTTTAGACAAGAACATCTTTGGAGATGTCGGTTCTGGATTTAGGCAAAAACCTTTATTTGACTGGGCACAGTGGCTCACATCTATAATCCCAGCACTTTGGGAGGCTGAGGCAGGAGGACAGCTTGAGGCCAGAAGCTTGAGACCAGCTTGAGACCCGCTTTATGGACCAGACCATAAGGAGACCTTGTCTCTACAAAAAAAAAAAAAAAAAAATTAATTAGCTGGCTGTGATGGCATGCACCTGTAGTCCTAGCTACTCAGGAGACTGAGGCACAGGATGGCTTGAGACTAGGAGTTCGAGGCTGCAGTGAGCCATGATAACACTGCTGCACTCATCCAGCCTGGGTGACAGAGCAAGAAAAAGAAAAAAAAGCGTTTTCTCAAGAGTGACTTCCAGGGTGGTGATGGCGGTGGTGGTGGTTTCCTTGGGGAAAGTCAAAGTTTTTTTTTTTTTTTTAAATTAAGAGAAATTACTGTGTTTGTTTCCTACTGCTACTGTAAGAAAGCACTACAGGCTGGGCGCAGTGGCTCACGCCTGTAATCCCAGCACTTTGGGAGGCCAAGGTGGGCAGATCACGAGGTCAGGAGATCGAGACCATCCTGGCTAACACAGTGGAACCCCATCTCTACTAAAAATACAAAAAATTAGCCGGGCGTAGTGGCAGGCGCCTGTAATCCTAGCTACTCGGGAGGCTGAGGCAGCAGAATCACTTGAACCCAGAAGGCGGAGGTTGCAGTGAGCCAAGACCATGCCACTGCATTCCAGCCTGGGTGACAGAGCGAGATTCTGTCTCAAAAAAAAAAAAAGCAAGCACTACAAATTGGGTGGCTTAAAACAACAGGAGTTTATTCTCTCACAGTTCTGGAGGCCAAAAGTCCCAAATCAAGGTGTCAGCAGGATTGGTTCCTTCTGAGGCCTCTGGGAGAATCCGTCCCATGCCTGTCTCCTGGGCTCTGGTGGTGGCCAGCAGTCCTTGGCATTGCCTGGCTTGTAGATGCATCTCTCCAGTCTCCGCCTCCATCTTCCCAGGGCCGCCTTTTCTGTGTCTCTGTGTCTTTACATGGCCATCTTTTGTTTTTGTGTTTTTTATACAGAGTCTCGCTCTGTCGCCCAGGCTGGTGTACAGTGGCACAATCTCGGCTCACTGCAAGCTCCGCCTCCCAGGTTCAAGCAATTCACCTGCCTCAGCCTCCAGAGTAGCTGGGACTACAGGCGTCCACCACCACGCCCGGCTAATTTTTTGCATTTTTGGTACAGACGCGGTTTCACTGTGTTAGCCAGGATGGTCTCGATCTCCTGACCTCGTGATCTGCCCGCCTCGGCCTCCCAAAATGCTGAGATTACAGGCATGAGCCACCGCGCCCGGCTGGCCATCTTTTTTCAAGGTCACCAGTCATATGGGATTGGGGCCCACCCTATTCCAGTATGGCTTCATCTTAACTAATTATATCTGCAATGACCCTGTTTCCAAATAAGGTCACATTCTGAGGTGTGCTGGGTTTTAATCCTTCAACATGTCTTTTTAGGAGGACACAAGTCAACCCATAACATTCACATAACATAAAATTTACCTTCAGAGAAATTTTTTGCCACTCTGTGCCAGTGTTCCTTAAACAAGAAAGTGCTGGCCGGGCGCGGTGGCTTACACCTGTAATCCCAGTACTTTGGGAGACCGAGGCGGGTGGATCACAAGGTCAGGAGTTCGAAACCAGCCTGACCAACATGGTGAAACCCTGTCTCTACTAAAAATATAAAAATTAGCCAGGCGTGGTGGCGGGCGCCTGTAATCCCAGCTACTCAGGAGGCTGAGGCAGGGGAATCACTTGAACCTGGGAGGCGGAGGTTGCAGTGAGCCAAGATCGTGCCACTACACTCCAGTCTGGGTGACAAAGCAAGACTCTGTCTCAAAAAAAAAAAAAAAAAAAGAGAAAAGTGCTGAAAGGAGTTCACCTGGATGTTGGCAGGTTGCTGCTGGAGCCAAGGAAGTCAGCATCTTTGGAGCTGCCTCAGAGCTTTTCACCAAGAAGAACATCAATTGTTCCATAGAGGAGAGTTTTCAGAGGTTTGACGCGATCTTGAAGGCAGCACAATCAGCCAATATTTCTGTGCGGGGGTGAGTCAGAGCACATTGGTATCGTTTCCTCTGTACCGTTCTGGAATGGGGCTAGACTCTGACTCAAGTGGTCCTCCTGCCACAAACTTCTTATCTTGGTGGGGGGCAGCCCAAACTCCACACCTAGACGTCTTTTCCCAAATAAGTGTGGTCAGAAGAAATCCTAGCAAGTACCTTCTCTCAAATCTGAATTTTGGGTCAGTTTACCAGCTGACCATTATGGCATGCACCTGTAGTCCTAGCAACTTGGGAGACTGAGGCAGAGGATGGCTTGAGACCAGGAGTTCGAGGCTGCAGTGAGCCATGATAGCACCACTGCCATCATGCTAGAGGAATCGAGCAGGACGGGACACTAACTGGAGTTTGTGGAGATCAGTTGAGTCCTGGCTTTATAACTAGCTCTTCACACATCCCTGGAGAATTACCTGGGCTTCTATGTTTCCAACATCACATCTCTAATATCAGTGATTCCAGGCATTGTGTGTGTATTATCTATAATAATTGAAACCTCATAATAGCCCAGCAGGGAGTAGGTTATCCCCACTTTATAAATGACAAAACTGAGGCCCAGGAAGGGTGAATAGTCTACCGTAAGGTCACAGTGCTGTGCAAATTGCAGCCAGAGGCCCGGCATGGTGGCTCACACCTATAATCCCAGCACTTTGGGAGGCCAAGGCAGGAGGATCACCTGAGGTCAGGAGTTCAAGACCAGCCTGACCAACATGGCGAAACCCCATCCCTACTAAAAATACAAAAATTAGCAGTAATTCCAGCTACTTGGGAGGCTGAGGCAGAAGAATCATTTGAACCTGGGAAGTGGAGGTTGCAGTGAGCCAAGATCACACCACTGTACTCCGGCCTGGGTGACAGAGCAAAACTCTGTCTAAAAAAGAAAAAAAAAAAATTGCAGCCAGAATGATCTTTCAAAAGTGCACATCTGGGCTAGACATGGTCACTCATGCCTGTAATCCCAGCACTTTGGGAGGCCGAGGTGGGCGGATCACCTGAGGTCAGGAGTTCGAGACCAGCCTGGCCAACATGGGGAAACCCCGTCTCTACTAAAAATACAAAAATTAGCCAGGCATGGTGGCGCGCCACCTGTAATCCCAGCTACTCAGGAGACTGAGGCAGGAGAATCACTTGAACCCAGAAGGCGGAGGTTGCAGTGAGCCAAGATCACACCATTGCACTCCAACCTAGGTGACAGCGAGACTCTGTCTCAAAAACAAAAAACAAAATCCCACAAAAGTGCACATCTGATCACATCCCTCCCGGTTAAAAAGCTTTCAGTGACTAATCAAGTGCAGACTTTTTAATGAGGCTAACAAACCCTGCATGATTTGGTCCCAGCTCTTTTCAGTAGCGCTACTGTTCCAGTTCCCTTCTGGCCCCTGCTTCCTCCTCATGGTACACTCCAGCCCAACTGGAACTTCTTTCCGTTTGTCACATGCCTCCACTCTCTCTTGCCTCTGGACCTTTGCACGTGCTTTCTGTAGACTCAGAACAACCTTCCTTCGGAGGCTAAGGTGGGCGGGTTGCTTCAGCCTAGGAGTTTGTGACCAGCCTGGGCCTGGGCAACATGGTGAAACCCCAGCTTTACAAAAAAAAAAAAAAAGCCAGGCATGGTGGCATGTGCCTGTAGTCCCAGCTACTCAGGAGGCTAAGGTGGGAAGATCACCTGAGCCTGAGAGGTCCAAGCTGAAGCGAGCCAGAATCATGCCACTGCACACCAGCATGGGTGAAAGAGTGAGCCTCTGTCTCCAAAACATAAAAAAGAACACTTCCTCCACATCATGCTTCTCGGAGATAACTCCTGCTCATCCTTCAGGTCTTCTTGTGGGAGTCAGTTCCTCTGAGAAGCTGCTCCAGTCCTTCAGCTGGAGTCAGCGCCCTTCTCTGGGCGCCCATAGTGTCGGGACATCCTCTAAATGTAGCACTTAGCTGCTTGTTAAATTCCCTCCCTGCCCCACCTCACTAGACCATGCACTTCCTGAGGGCAAAGCCCACATCTCTCCCAGTCCCTGGGGTGCTCCACTCTCCCAGCTTGGGGCCTAGCACACAGTGGGCACTCAGTCACTGACGGGCAGGTGGATGAATGGGGAAGCAGGGGCTCCAGTAACATCAGTCCGACTTCCAGATCTGTGTCTTTCTAAGCATCTCTCTTACCTTTTTCTTGCTCAGCAGTGGTTGGAGAATAAGTGGGAGCATCAAAATGGAAAAGTACACTGAGATCTTTGAGTCTGAAATTATTTATCTATAGAACGTTTATTAAAAATTATCTATAGCCTCTTAATATGCAGAATACTTTGCTTGACTCTAAAGGGTTTTGAATACATCTCAGCTCCAAGAGGGTGGGTGGGAATAGAAGTCACCCACATCCAAAATCTACCCTCCTTACCATAGCCCTAAGACCCATGATCAGACCTGTGCCCACCTTGCTGACCTCCTCATCTCATACTTCCTTTCCCCTTGCTCTCTCTGCTTCAGCTATCCTTTGTTCTGTCTGGAGCACGCCTGGCTCTTCTGTCTCACGGCTTTCTCCAGGCTCTTCTCTCTGCCTGGAATGCTCTTCTCACAGACCCCCAGCTTCTTTCGGCTCCAACATCCTGTCCTCAGAGGGGTCTTTTCTGGATCCTCACTACAGCTGGCCTCCACTTGTTCTATCATTTCCCATCTTTCCTCTGTAGCACATCACTTCTGAGAGTTTCTCCATTACTTACTTGGTTGCCTTTTTATTGGCCATCTCCCTAACTTGAGATAAGCTCTGAGAGGGCAGGAACCTTATCAGTCTTGCCCACTGCTCTATGCCAGTTCCTGGCACATAGCAGGCAACTCAGTAAACATCAGGCGAATAAATGAATGAATGAATCTTCTAGCAACTCACTGGGGCAGCTCATCCCTTGGCCCTCAGGCCAGCGCAGCCTATTACTGACTCATATCCAACTTAGCTCTTGTTCTGAGTTTGGTTTTACCCAGTCTTTGGTCTCCTTCTGGAGTACTGGCCCCAGCTCCTCTGGCACATAGTTTTGCTCCGTCTCCCCACCGTACAACCCAGCTGCTTACTCTCCTTGCCCTGTCTAGCTCCTCCTCCTCCGCTTATTGTAAATCCTTGGCTGCCACTCCTGAGGCCTGTGCAACTTCTGCTTCCTGAACTGTAGGTCCATTGTCCCCCAGTTCCCTGCCATTGCTCTCTACTGCCTCCTGCTGGCACTGAGTTGTACCATCCCTGCCCTTCCTCCGCCCAGCTGCAGGTGTTGATTGCACACTGATCAGAAATGTGTGTTAAATGCCCTGCTTCAGTTCTGCTAGCCAAAGAGCTCAGGACACTGACCTCATTCCTCCCCTGTCTTCCCACAGGTACGTCTCCTGTGTGCTTGGCTGCCCTTATGAAGGGAAGATCTCCCCAGCTAAAGTAGCTGAGGTGTGTGCATGTGTCAGGGTGGGGGGTTTGGTGAGGGTTGGCCACCTTGTCTGCCCCTGAGTGCATAGGTTCCTCTCCCCACCCTTTCCTGCAGGTTCCTGATTTCATTCATTCACCCAGCTCCTTCATTAAGCTCCCCCCCGTGAGCACAGCCCTGCACTTGCTCCCTGGAGGACCCCCTCCTAGCTGGACATGTAGTCCTTGAAGCCCCTGGCCTCTACCCAGCCTGAAAACCTCTGATTCAGTTTCCAGTCTGGTCGTTGAGGTGATTCTCTGAGGAGAGGCTCCTTACCCAGGAGTTCCCACAGTTCCTTGTAGTGATTGAAAGGCCACAACCCTGATGTCCTCTGAACAGTCACCAGGTCAACACTGAGAAGAACACGGCACAGGAATTGAGTTTGACCAGCCCAAGAACTTACGTCATTTAGTCCTCAAAACCACTGTGCAAATTTGGTGTTATTATTCCCTTTTACAGTTGAGGAAACTGACACTAAATAATTTGCCACAGGTTACAAATGGTGAAATCAGGCATCAAACCCCATTTTGTCTCCCTCCAAAGCCCGCTTCTTCCCAGGATACTTTGTGGCATCCAGATAGGGGGAATGGTAACAGTAGCAACTGTTTCTTGAGAGTAGCTGCCCTGCTTCAGGTCTTAGCCTCAGTTGCACCAGTCCTTGCCATATGACCAAATGGTCATCACCATTTTTCCGAAGCAGAAATTGAAGCTCAGAAAAGTTAAGTTCCTTGCCAAGGCCCACAGCTAGTGAGCAGCAGAACTAGGACTTTAACCCAGCATCTCGTGACTTCAAGGGTCTGCTCCTTCCCCTGCACCCTGCTGCCCCCTAAAGGCCAGCCACTGCTGCCCCGCTCTGTGCAGGGCCGCTGGGGGAAACGACATCACCATTTCATTTATCTAGCAGATCATTGGTGTCTTCTGGTCCCCCTGCCCCGCCACATCCCTCCGCACCTTGTCCAGCAGCCCCATGCTGGCAGCAGCTCCTTGGGTGAGGCCATCTTTTTTTTAAGTTCACCAGTCATATGGGATTAGGGGCCAACCCTCTTCCAGTATGGCTTATTCCAGTTGGACCCATATTGGACCTATTCCAATATGGACCCATTTTGCAGTGGTTTTAGAGGTGTGCAAATGGGCTTCTAAAAATTTAAATAGTGATGTACCTCTATTAAAAAATATAACTATTGGCCAGGCATGGTGGCTTACGACTGTAATCCCAGCACTTTGGGAGGCCGAAGCAGGCGGATCACCTGAGGTCAGGCGTTCAAGACCAGCCTGGCCAACATGGTGAAACCCCGTCTCTACTAAAAATACAAAAAGTTAGCGGGGAGTGGTGGCAGGTGCCTATAATCCCAGCTACTTGGGAGACTAAGACAGGAGAATCACTTGAACCCAGGAGGCAGAAGTTGCAGTGAGCTGAGATTGGGCCACTGCACTCCAGCCTGGGTGACAGAGCAAGACTGTCTCAAAAAATATATATATTGTACATATATAATATAATGTATATAATTATATATAATTATATAATGTCTATAATTGTATATAATTAATGTCTATATAATATACATTATATATCATAATGTATATCATATGTATTGTATATAACTACATAATTATATACATTATATATTATATATACAATTATATACATAATATATAATTATATGCATAATATATGTATTATATATTATATACATTATATATATACTATTAGCTGGGCATGGTGGTACACACCTGTGGTCCAGGTTACTTGGGAGGCTGAGGTGGGAGGATTGCTTGAGCCTGAGAGGCCGAGATCACACCACTGTACTCCAGCCTGAATGACAGAGTGAGAACTTGTCTCAAAAAAAAAAAAAAGAAAAAAAATGTAACTAGCATCTCAGACCCATGATTTCATGGATTTTATTGCTGAGGATAAAATGACACAGAAGGAATCAACTTCACTGATTCCAGCACCTGGGTCTGACAGTATGATGTGGCGGTGGTAAGTGAAAGACTGAAGTGTGAGGGGCACAGGTAGGGAGGAAAGCACAGGGGTTGGAGCTTCAGGACTGTGGGCTGGCTCCAGCGGCTGGCTCTGCCCCTTAAGCCTCCGCCTCCTGATCATAGGTAGTTGGAGTTGTGAGGAGCATGTCATCCGGTAGGAACTGAGTGCTTCATACACAGAAGTGTTCTGTCCAGGCAAAGGTCCCCGGCTTCTGAGTGCATGGATCCCCTGGCTGGTGGATTCTGTATCCTCCAAGTGCCTGCTTGCTTCCTTAGGTCACCAAGAAGTTCTACTCAATGGGCTGCTACGAGATCTCCCTGGGGGACACCATTGGTGTGGGCACCCCAGGGATCATGAAAGACATGCTGTCTGCTGTCATGCAGGAAGTGCCTCCGGCTGCCCTGGCTGTCCACTGCCATGACACCTATGGCCAAGCCCTGGCCAACACCCTGATGGCCCTGCAGGTAATCAAAATCATATGCCCATTCTCCCAAAGGTCATGGTGGGCAGGACAGCTTGTTATCATTTATTCTTTCAGCAAACATTTACTGATGCCAGTATGCCAGGTTCTGAGCGGGCAATGGTGGACATTGTCATGGTGACCCCGCTCAGATGTGAAGTGTACACCTCTGTGTTAGGGAGACAGTCACGGGAGTTACATGGCAATCCTGCTGCATTATGACAGATGCCATGAAGGGAGGAAGCATGGGGCTCAGGAAACCTAGAGGGGCTCCATCCCAGCTGAGATCGAGGAGGATTTGCAGAAAAGGCCTGAGTGAAGCTTGAAGGATATAAAGTAAGCTGCTGGCGAGGGAAGAGGAAAGGTGACTGGGCAGAACTGCACCTCAGGACTGATGTAGGGTTCAGGGAGGACTCATACAACCTACAGGGTTGTGAGTGTGCGAGTGTGTAGCGGAAGCAGGTGAGGAGACAGGAGGTAGAGAGGCCAGCAGAGGTCACTCAGAGAGAGAGGCTTTAATGCCGTTCCCCTCAGATTTAGTTTTCCTTGAGGTTTGCTTCTCATGGGCTGGTCCAGAATGGTGATCCATTGGCTGGCAGCCAGATAGAAGGGACATTCTTGGTGTCTGACCACGGCTACCTTGCTGTAGCACTGGCCTACCCTTCCATCTCTAGGATAGTGATGGCAGTCCCAGACACTTTTTTTTTCCTCTCAATTATCCCCTAGAAGTTCGTGTCTAAGCCAGGTGAGTCTGTTACATTCTGGGCCGGTTTCCTCAGAGTTGTGGCTGTCAAAGTTAAGGTTCATAGCTCTGTGGTCTCCTCATTTCTCGGCTTACTGTGACACTCCGCCATGGCTCCTGGGCTTTCCTTCAGCTCATGCGTTTCTCGGCCAGGCAGTCAGGAAGAGTGACTTCCCCTCCTAGACCTTGCCAGGCAGGTAAAGGGGAATTCTGCACAGCCCAGGTGAGTCTGAGGCAAAACTCCATCCTGACTAGGCTCGGGACACTCCTGCTCCTCTGTGCTTCTCTGTTTCTTGGCAATGATGTCTCAGAATCCCCTTTTTGAAAATTTATCAGGGAACAGGTTGATCTGTATGATGTCTGGCAGCAGCTTCCTCTGACCTCCCTCTTCCATCAGTTATTTCAGGAATATGGATCGATGTGCCAGGTTAAGTGCTGACTTAGATAATAGTAACAAAACCCAATCCCTGCCCTCTGGGAGCTCATGTCATGGTGGGTGGGGAAGACGGATGGAAGATTACAGGCGTGTAAATAACACATTGTCAGACCATTTATTCACCTATTAAAACCTAACCTGACAGTGCCTAGTGTGCTCGGCACTGTTCTTAGCATTAAGGATTCAGCTGCGACCAAAACAGAGTCTCTGACCTCATGAGGCTGACACTCTAGTACGATGAGGCAGATAATAAATAAACACATAAACATACAGCAGGCCAGGTGCTCATAAGCACTGTGGAGAAAAATGAAGCAGGTTAAGGCAGTGCCAGGCCTTTCTGTAGAGTGGCCTCACTCAGAAGGAAGCATTTGAGAGAGACCCGAGGGAAGCAAGGGAGTGAGCCCTGCGGACCCCTAGCAGGGAGCGGGAGGGAAGGGAGCCCCACCCAGGAAAGCAGGCACAGAGCCCTGAGGGAGGAGTGTGCTTGCCATGTTCAGGGATCAGGAGGAGGCATGTGGCAGGAGCAGTGTGACCGAGGAGAAGGGGGCAGAGATGTCAGGGTTAGAGGAAGGCCAGATCGGGGGCCCTGTAGGACTTTGACTCTTTCAGACTGAGCTGGGAAGCTAACAGAGAGTCTTGAGCAGGGGCGGGGAGGGAGATGATCTGAATGTTCCCTTTGAGAGGCTCCTCGGCCAGGCACGATGGCTCACACCCATAATCCCAGCACTTTGGGAGGCTGAGGCAGGTGAATCACTTGAGGTCAGGAGTTTGAGACCACCCGGCCAACATGGTGAAACCCCATCTCAACTAAAAATATAAAAATTAGCTGGGTGTGGTAGTGGGGGCCTGTAATCCCAGCTATTTGGGAGGCTGAGTCATGAGAATCACTTGAGCCCGGGAGGTGGAGGTTGCAGTGATTTGCAGTGAGCTGAGATAGTGCCAGTGCACTCCAGCCTGGGCAATAGAGCGAGACTCCTTATCAAAAAAAAAAAAAAAAAAAAAGAAAGAAAAGAGGCTCTTCTGGCTCTTGTGTAGAGAATACACTATAGACGCAGAAAAACCAGTTTGGAGCCTACAGCAATCCAGGTGAGAGACATGGCAAGGAGACCTGGAGGGCGGAGGTCCGTGACCGGATCTCAGCAGTCTGATCTGTGAAGCTCGAGACATCTATAGGCAGGTATGTTAACCTGGGTGCAATGAACTGGGAGGGAGTGGAGATAGAGAAGCTGTCTGAGGAGTGAGCAGTAAGGGCTCCAGCCAAGATCAGGGAGGTGAGGAAGAGCCAGCAAAGACTGGATCGAGGCCTCAGGAGAGGCCAGAGCACTAGGAGGAAAACCAAGGGATGTGGAGCCCTGGAAGCCACACGGAGAAGGTGTCCAAGATGATGCAGCTAGTCAAGTGCAAAGATGAAGACACTTGACCTTTGTACTTAGCTACATGGAGGCCACCAGTGGCCTTGACTAGAGCTGTTTCAGTGGAGGAGTTGTGGGGATGCAAACCTGTTTCAAATGGGTTCAAGTGGGAATGGTAGATGTTAAATGGGAACAGCTCTTTTGAGGGACTTTGCTTTGAATGGGGGGAAAGAAATGGGAGGTTAGAGGGTTCCAAAAAGGTTTGTAAAAGATGGGAGAGATCGCAGGCTGTGTGAGGATGACCCAGTGGAGGGGAGTAACAGGTTGCAGGAGAGAGGGAGAGAGAGATTTACTGAAGCACATTCTGAAGCAGGTGGGAATGGGCCTCATGCCAAGGTGGAGAGGTTGGCCTTGGCTAGGAGCTCGGGGTCCATCTCAGGCAGCATGAGGGACAGTGGTTCTGTAGGCCCAGATGTAGGCAGGTGGGTAGATGTGACGTTGGGAGTCAATGGAGACATCTCTTTTGATTGCATCCATTTCCATAAAGCAGCAGATGAGAATGAGGATGGGGAAGGGGGTGATAGAGGTTTAACAAGAGAGGAGAAAGTGAAATAGTCATTTGGGAGAGTGGGAGGTGACTGACCTGGGAAGATGGGATGTGGGCCTCATGTGACAAGGCCCTGACTGAGTGAGACCAGCCTGGAGGTGGTAGGGGGTAAGCGGGGGGTAATAAATGAACCACAGTAAACAACAGAGGTCTGAAATCTCAGCATTGGGAGGGGGTCAGGCTGGTGATCAGAAAAGGTCTCCCTGAGCAGGTAGCTTTCAGACTGGAACCTAAAGGGTAAGAGTCCACCATGAAAGGAAAGATACTGCTGGCAGAGGAAACAGTGTAGCAGAAACTAAAGGGAGAAGCACTGTCTCTGTGGGATTTTCGTGTCAACAGAATCATAAGCCAAAGCAAAGAATGACTCTAGAATTTCAGGCAACAGACGCTTGGGAGGTTTGCAAGGCCCAGCTCTGTGGGCTCTTGTCCCCAGTGCCAACCGTGTTTCACCATCCTTATGTTTCCAGATGGGAGTGAGTGTCGTGGACTCTTCTGTGGCAGGACTTGGAGGCTGTCCCTATGCACAGGGGGCATCAGGAAACTTGGCCACGGAGGACCTGGTCTACATGCTAGAGGGCTTGGGCATTCACACGGTAAGCCCGCCCACCCCCTGGTGGCGACAGCCCTGAACTGACCAGGGCTTGGCCTGAAGCTGAGAACAAAAGCAGATGGGGGTATTTGGGGTTGTTAAAGTGTGGAGGAGTAAAGAGGGAAAGAGTTAGCCAGGCACAGTGGCTCATGCCTATAATCTCAGCACTTTGGGAGGCTGAGGCAGGTCACTTGAGCCCAGGAGTTTGAGGCTGCAGTGAGCTATGATCCTGCCAGTGTACTCCAGCGTGGATGAAAGAGCAAGACCCTGTCTCTTCAAAACAAAACAAAAGAGGGAAAGGGTGCCAGGGATTATGGATATTTGATCTAATGTTTTAATGTTTGTGAGAGTAGGGTTGAGTGAGGCCACACGCATGAGCACAAGAAGGCTGGAGTGTCAGGGTGACTTTGACAGTTCAGTCCTAGGAGACACCAGGGAACATGGAAGGGGCCCTGGGAAGGGTCAGGTTCATGACCTGAAATGAGTCAGTTCTCTCTTGGCTTTGTTTTGTTCTCTGTACAATGCGGACAGTAGCGTTAAACAGCTCACCAGGGATCTACCAGAGTCCACCAGGGCCCTCAGTGGTGGGACGGAAGCAGACTAGCATCTGTGCTTGAGGATCAGATGGAACTGGGTTTAAAGCCTACTCCTGCCACTCACAGGCTATGAGACCTCAGACAAATCATTTCATCTCTCTGAACCTAAGAAATGGGAAGAATAATGCTATCTATCTCATGGAGCCATTGTGAGGATTAAGTAAGAAGATATATGTAGAGGGCCAGGCGCGGTGGCTCACACCTGTAATCCCAGCACTTTGGGAAGCCAAGGCGGGTGGATCACCTGAGGTCAAGAGTTCGAGACCAGCCTGGCCAACATGGTGAAACCCTGTCTCTACTAATAATAGAAAAATTGCTGGGCACGGTGGCTCACGCCTGTAATCCCAGCAATTTGGGAGGCCAGGGCAGGCAGATCACCTAAGGTCAGGAGTTGGAGACCAGCTTGGCCAACATGGTGAAACCCCTTCTCTACTAAAAATACAAAAATTAGCTGGGTGTGGTGGCGGGCACCTGTAACCCCAGCTACTTAGGAAGCTGAGGCAGGAGAATCACTTGAACCCGGGAGGTGGAGGTTACAGTGAGCTGAGAGCGCGCCATTGCACTCCAGCCTGGGCGACATGAGCAAAACTCTATCTCCAAAAAATAAAAAAATAAAAAGAAACCTCATGTAGAATGCTTAGCACAGAGCTGAACACCGAGTGCATTTCAGCAAATATGAGCTACTGTATGAACAGAGGGTTTCTGCCTGGCCCTTTCAGTTGGTGTTTTTATCCCTCCCTCTCTGTCTCACAATCCTCACTTGAATATCAGTTTTTTACCTCTGTGGGCCAGGCCCTGTGCTGGGCCCTGAAGAGGGAGTACTGAACAAGACTGATGAGATCTGTGCCCTGGTAGTGGCACTACAAACCATTATACAGATTGGGCATCTTACATGAGGGGGAGTCAGAGGAATAATCCAGGTGCCAGACAGACAGGAGCTCACAGGCAGCCGGTGCCCCACTGTCAAGGAAAAAGCCTGTTTATCGTCACCTTTACTTTTTCAGTACCACAGTTGTCTATCCATGCTGATGTTTTCCCTGGTGTTGAGGGCTATGCCCATGACTTACCACATCCTCTAACTTGTTTCTCAAAGGGTGTGAATCTCCAGAAGCTTCTGGAAGCTGGGAACTTTATCTGTCAAGCCCTGAACAGAAAAACTAGCTCCAAAGTGGCTCAGGCTACCTGTAAACTCTGAGCCCCTTGCCCACCTGAAGCCCTGGGGATGGTATGGAAATAGGTGCACACACAGATGATCCATGGATGGGAACACGGAAATGAGAATGAGGTTAAATGGTGCAGGTACCTCACAGCCAGCTCTACACAGAGGTCTCTCCTGGCAGAAAGCAGGTGAGGGGCAGGAGGAGCTGCTTGGCAGCAGGACCCCCTGCCCAGACCTGAGTAGGAGCAAGAGGCTTTGAGGGCTGAAGTCTCCCTTCATTATGGACCCTGGCCCAGGAGTTGAATCCCTGAGGACATGTGGGAACCCCATTCCCTACTTGGCATGATCCTTGAGTCTCCTCTCTGGATGGAATCTGTGAGCTGGCCACCTGGCCGCCCTCTACACAGCTCCACCCTGCCATGGCCTTGGGGCCCTTGCTCTCTGACTTCTCAGGACACAGGTCATGGGGCTTCTTCCCAAGCTGGCAGAGACCATTTGTGGAAAGTGGAGAGCTTCGTGCTGGCCATCTGCCAACTCCAGCATCTCTAGAAAATCTCCACGCTGAATGTGATTTTTGAAAACAGCTTATGTAATTAAAGGTTGAATGGCACAGAATCATTCCGGCATTCGGTTGTGCAGCTGTGTGTATACATGAGCGTGGGGGAGGAAAATACTTTACCATGTTGCACTCTGAGAGGAAAATGGAGACTATGAACTAGTTTATTAATCTTTGCATTTCCTCCCTGTTTCCCCACCTGAGCCCCAAATCCATAGTGACTGGAAATCAGTGGCTTTGGGCTTACTCAGGAGGCTGCTTGCAGCAGTTGCTGGCCAGAACACCCGACAGGGTTGTTTCTGAGCTTTGCCTCTGTGACTGGGGCTATTGCACAAGCTCCCCCGAGGGCACACTTGCTGCTTTGGACCTCGGTGGCCCGGCCTCTCCCTGGTGTTCTCAGGCCCGGGAGCGCTCACCTGTCGGTTCCCCCGGGCTCTGCGGTCAGGCGCTGATTCTCGGCTGCGGGGACACCTGTGCGCTCCTGCATTTAGGGCTCCTTTGCTCTGGTTTCATCACGCAGGATGTCACATTTTGTGCATATTATCCTTTAGCTCTACTACTTTTCATTGTAAACAAACAAAATCATTTTCTAACCTGCCGTCGTGGCAGGCAGAGTGCAGAGCATTCCCGGCAGGTGTGGGCCGCGGTGAGGGCTGAGAGCCAAGGACGCTGGAACCGCTAGTGTGGCCTGACAGCTTCCTCCATTATTTGCAGACTGGACTTCCGGCACCACGGCCCCCTGCGACCCTCTCCTGTCTTAGTTCCGTGGGATCGGGTAGTTCAAGATTTTGAATTCAGGGTCTGGTAGACACCGGCAAGTTTGAAAACCTACGGGTCAGAGTGGGGCGGAGGCGTGGGCCCCCTACCCTCTGCCCCCTGCCCCCTCGGAAGCGCGGCCCTCTTCCAGGGGTTGGGACAAGCTGGCCTGGGGACCCGGGGCACCGGCAGGGACCCAACCGCTCCCGGGACCTGGCACCAGCTGCGCCCCTCGCGGGGTGGCACCGCCCACTTCCGCTTTCCGTGGGCGTGCGCCGCGCAGTCGCAGTCACAGCGCAGCGATCTTTTGTCCTCCCGGCGTCCCCGTAGTGGCCGTAACCCGAGTGACACGTTTCCTTGGGGGCGTGGAGGAGCGAGGTCGGGGTGGGCCGTCAGCACTTAAAGGGCCCGCCGCTCGGGCGCAGGAGGCGGTGCCTCTGGAGCCAGTGCGGGGCGCGGGAACCCGAGCAGGTTCGGGAGGCGGAATGGAGGGCCGGGTGGGCTCGCGAGGGGCCGGGGAGTCCGCGGGGAGCGAGGGAGTTTCCGAGGGTCGGGTCGCGTTCCTGGCAGAGTCCCTACGGGGCAGGCCCGCCCCCTCTGTCCCAGTTCCCCGCTGCCTGGGCTGGGGCGGCCGGGGTTCATTCATTCCCGGCCTGGGGACTCCTAGCTCGGCGCCGCTCCGCGCCACAGCCCAAAGCCCAGCCTGAGACCCAGCCGCCCTAGAGTGCCCACGGCCCGGCTCCCCTTTCCTCCAGCAGACAGACTGGGAAAACCGAGGGGGCGACGGCTGAGCAAGGTCACTCCGCGGATCTGGGGCGCAGCCGGGCTCAGACCAGCTTTCCTGCCTCCCAGGGCCTCTCTGCCACCACTTTCGGGGTCCGCGCCGGGCGCGGGGCGGGGGCGGGGGCGGCTTCCGCGCGGCGGGCAGAGTCCAGCGGGGAGCGGTGGGGGAAGGGCGAGCCGCCTGGGGAGGGGGCCGGGCTGCAAGCCTGGCGATCCCGATTCCAGCCCGCTGTCGCCAGCTGTGGGACCGAAGGGAAACTGTTTCACCTCTCTGACCCTAGTGTTTGTATCTGTAAAATGCCAGTGATAACACCTGCCTCACCGAGATGCTGGGGGAATTCAGGAAAATCATGCAAAAGTGCCCGGTGCAGAGCCTGGCACACAGAGAGCTCTTGGTCAAGTGAGTTGGGGCTGCGTGAGCCCAAAAGGGGATAGAGGCAGCGTGGAGGAAGGCGGCAGCTGGCCCGGTCGCTGGGAATGAAAGGCCTCAGTGTCTGGGGCTTCCTCCCCGTCCCGCCCGTTCTGCCCGCAGTTTGTTCAGGGTGGAGGTGCGCACCTGGCCAAGTCCACGTCTACACGGCCTACCCAGAGAGGCCTAAGTTGGGCGGCATTCCTAACTCCGAGCCAGGAGTGACCGGGCTGGCCCTGGCATGGGCAGAGACTGAGCGAGGGTTGGGTGGGGCCCGCTCCAGGACCAACCACGGTGTGGTTGCCCTTGAGCTGGCCTCAGCCTGCCTGGCAAAGACCTCATCCTTGAGACCATGTGATCTATTTCCTGCTTCCTCCTAGCTGACCCTTGAGGGAAAGGGGGTGGGGGCCGCCTAGAGCAGGAAGTATTAGTCACTGAGCCCAGGTGCCAATTTACACCTAGCGAAGGTGGAGGCATTGGACAGGCCTGGGTCTGAGCAGAGAACACTCCTTCCTGGGACCCTGGAGTCCCAATCCTGCTGCCATTTTCCTTCTACCCAGGACTCTCCACTCCTCAGTCACCTTGGAGAAAGAAGTGTGGATCCTCAGATTCCATCTTTCCAACTCCAAGACAAGTGGAACTAGAAAATAAGGTGCCTGTGTCAGTCTCCCCAGCTCTGCTGTGGTGGGCCCTTAAGATCACCTCACTGAACCCTCACACTGCCTCATGATGTTTATACAGTTATTAGCTCCGTTTTACAGAGGCAGAAACTGAGGCCAAGAGGCTAATTTCCTAAGGCCAGAAAGTGATAGTATCCAGACTTGCCCCAGGGCTGACTTCTGAGCCAGCCTGGTACCTAGGGCACACTGCTGCCTCCTTCCAAAGTGAGCGTAGGGGACAGGATTCCAGTGGGAAGGAAGCTCTGAGCGGGCAGCCCAAGCCACCTCTGAGACTCTGTATCCTGGGCCAGGTGCCATGGCAGAGAAGGTGCTGGTAACAGGTGGCGCTGGCTACATTGGCAGCCACACGGTGCTGGAGCTGCTGGAGGCCGGCTACTTACCCGTGGTCATCGACAACTTCCATAACGCCTTCCGTGGTGAGCAGGGCAGTGGGGCTGGGACTACTTGAGGGGATGGCAGAAGCAAAACTCTGGATTCCACCTCCACCACCGGGTGGGGAACATGTGTCTGGCTAGTCCCTGGGAACACAGCACCCCATGTCGTGATGATGTGGCCTACATGTACCCTACCAGGAGGGGGCTCCCTGCCTGAGAGCCTGCGGCGGGTCCAGGAGCTGGCAGGCTGCTCTGTGGAGTTTGAGGAGATGGACATTTTGGACCAGGGAGCCCTACAGCGTCTCTTCAAAAAGGTGGGTGCAGGCCGGGCGCGGTGGCTCAAGTCTGTAATCCCAGCACTTTGGGAGGCGGAGACGGGCGGATCACGAGGTCAGGAGATCGAGACCATCCTGGCTAACACGGTGAAACCCCGTCTCTACTAAAAAAATACAAAAAAATAGCCGGGCGAGGTGGCGGGCGCCTGTAGTCCCAGCTACTCGGGAGGCTGAGACAGGAGAATGGGGTAAACCCGGGAGGCGGAGCTTGCAGTGAGCTGAGATCCGGCCACTGCACTCCAGCTTGGGCAACAGCGCGAGACTCCGTCTCAAAAAAAAAAAAAAAAAAAAAAAAAAAAAAAAGTGGGTGCAGGCTGGGCACAGTGGCTCACGCCTGTAATTCCAGCACTTTGGAAGGCCGAGGTGAGGAGATCACTTGAGCCCAGGTGTTCAAGATCAGCTTGCTCAACACGGTGAAAACCCATCTCTACAGAAAAATACAAAAATTAGCTGGGTGTGGTAGCCCATACCTGTGGTCCCAGCTACTCGGGAGGCTGGCGTGGGAGGATGGCTTGAGCCCGGGAGGTGGAGGTTGCAGTGAGTTGAGATGGCACCACTGCACTTCAGCCTGGGCAACAGAGCAAGACTGTCAAAAAAAGAAAAAAAAGGTAGATGCAGGCAGGCAGGCCAGGGGCATTGCCAAGGACTAAGGCCAGTAGAGCAATCTCTGGCCATGTCGCCCCTGCAGCACAGCTTTATGGCGGTCATCCACTTTGCGGGGCTCAAGGCTGTGGGCGAGTCGGTGCAGAAGCCTCTGGATTATTACAGAGTTAACCTGACTGGGACCATCCAGCTTCTGGAGGTGAGAGGGCAGGGCAGAGACATTAGGAGGGTGCCCAGCTAGGCCCCAGTCTGGCAGGCAGTGCCAAACACAGAGCCCAAGCTCTATCATCCTGGACTCAGGTCTTTATGTCCCAGTCTCAGTTTCCCCACCTCAGCCCCATTCTCCTGTGGAGTAACAGGGTGGGAGTCATGTGTGAGGCGGAGGCCACTGACGCCACCTCTCCACGGCCAGATCATGAAGGCCCATGGGGTGAAGAACCTGGTGTTCAGCAGCTCAGCCACCGTGTACGGGAACCCCCAGTACCTGCCCCTGGACGAGGCCCACCCCACGGGTGGTTGTACCAACCCTTACGGCAAGTCCAAGTTCTTCATCGAGGAAATGATCCGGGACCTGTGCCAGGCAGACAAGGTGAGGGCCCCCTTGATAGCGCCCTGGCTCCACTGATTGATGGCCCGCCCTGAGCCTGAGGGTGGGATTCTGAACACCCCTGCTAAGGAGGAAGCTAAGGCTCAGGCAGTTGCAGTGGAGGGCCCCATCCCCTGCTTGTTTCTAAAGATAAGGAATAGGCAACTGGCCAGGCGCGGTGGCTCATGCCTGTAATCTCAGCATTTTGGGAGGCCCAGGTGGGCAGATCACCTGAGGTCAGGAGTTTGAGACCAGCCTGGACAACGTGGTAAAACCCCATCTCTACTAAAAATACAAACATTAGCCCGGCATGGTGGTGTGTGCCTGTGGTCCCAGCTCTTCAGGAGGCTGAGGCATAAGAATTGCTTGAACCTGGAAGGCGGAGGTTGCAGTGAGCCACATCAGGCCACTACACTCCAGTCTGGGCCATAGTGAGACTCCATCTCAAAAAAACAGAATAGGCATGGGGAGGGCTCTGGGTTCAGTTAGGACACACTGCCTGTGCCTCTGGCCTCACCGCCTGACCCACATTCCACAGACCTGGAACGCAGTGCTGCTGCGCTATTTCAACCCCACAGGTGCCCATGCCTCTGGCTGCATCGGCGAGGATCCTCAGGGCATACCCAACAACCTCATGCCTTACATCTCCCAGGTAAGGCAGAAGGGAAGGGACAGGAGTGACCCTGGGGTTATAGTTGGTGCCTGGGATCTGAGGGGAACTGACCTGATCTCCACCTCCAGGTGGCGATAGGGCGACGGGAGGCCCTGAATGTCTTTGGCGATGACTATGACACAGAGGATGGCACAGGTGAGCCTAGGACCAGGGGGACCTAGGAGTGGGAGCCAGGAGGGAGAGTCAGGGGGAACAGACTCCCTATCCAACACACTCCCTTCTCTGCAGGCGTCCGGGATTACATCCATGTCGTGGATCTGGCCAAGGGCCACATTGCAGCCTTGAGGAAGCTGAAAGAGCAGTGTGGCTGCCGGGTAGGAAGAGAAGGGAGAAATGAGGGAGGGGAGGGACCAGATCCAGGCAGAGAGGCCCAGAGGGGTGGTCAGTCCAGCTCCTTCCATAAACCCTGTTCTCTGCGGGGCAGATCTACAACCTGGGCACGGGCACAGGCTATTCAGTGCTGCAGATGGTCCAAGCTATGGAGAAGGCCTCTGGGAAGAAGGTAGGCCCCCTGCCCCACCCATCTCACCCCACCCAGCTCTCAGCAGCACAGCAGCTTTGGCCCTTCCCACTCACCTCTCCTGTGGGCACCTGGCACTGCCCAGTCTCCTCAGCCTGCCCAGCACCCAGCACCAGGTGCCTGCGGGCAAGCCGCTGCTCTGCACTTTCGCTTCTTAAAGACCTGGCCGGCAGCTGGGCCAGGGCCGGCTCAGCTAAGCTCCAACTACCTCCTGTCTTGCAGATCCCGTACAAGGTGGTGGCACGGCGGGAAGGTGATGTGGCAGCCTGTTACGCCAACCCCAGCCTGGCCCACAAGGAGCTGGGGTGGACAGCAGCCTTAGGACTGGACAGGATGTGTGAGTGCTGGCCGGACCCCTGCAGTTAGGGGCCAGGGAGGGGCTGATCAGATCTGGGCATGACCACCCAGGGCAGGCTGTGGAGTGTGGGGAGGCTCTGCATTCCACCGTGGGCCCTGAGCACGCACCTCGCCGTGTTGCAGGTGAGGATCTGTGGCGCTGGCAGAAGCAGAATCCTTCAGGCTTTGGCGCGCAGGCCTGAGGACCCTCCCCTACCAAGGACCAGGAAAAGCAGCAGCTGCTTGCTCTCTAGCCTCTGGCAGGAACCCAGGGCCCTGGAGCTGCTGGGGCCAAGCCACGGCCTCCCCTACCTCAAACCCCAGCTGGGCCCACTCATCCCACCAGGCATGAGGCCAAGGGCTCCACTGACCAGGAGGCCGAGGTCTCTAACTCTTATCTTCCACAGGGTCCAAGAGTTCATCAGGACCCCCAAGAGCGAGTGAGGGGGCAAGGCTCTGGAACAAAACCTCCTCCTCCCAGGCACTCATTTATACTGCTCTGAAAGAGCTTTCCAAAGTATTTAAAAATAAAAAGTTTTCTTACACTGGGGCAGGTTCTCACAGATGGTCACTATCCACCCCTGGAATACAATCAGCCAGGCCTGAGCACTGAGGAAGCAATTTCTTTAATTTTATCGGAATCCAGGACACAAGAAAAACACCCAAAAACCACATGGAGACAGAAGACGAGACACAACTCCTCCCCCACTGCCTCCCTGCTCTAGAGTGGGGACAAAGTGGGGGTGAGACAGCTGAGGGGAGACCTGAACCTCAGTCCAGCCCTACAGGCTCCAGGCCTGCAGGGAAGGAGGGTAACCGGGAGGCAGGGCCCAGCCCCCCAGTGTGGGGAAACAGCTGAGGGAAGGCCCCCCTCAAAAGGCTCCACCTCCTCACCAGCACTCCTGCCCAGGGACAGGGAGCCCACAGCAGCAAGGGGACCCCGGGGCCATGGCCACATTCATGACTGAGAAGCAGCTGAGTGGAGGCAGGAGACACACGATTATCTGGGCAGAATCAGTTGGGGCAGGGGCCTGGGAGGGCCCCATGGGCCAAACCCTGAGGTCACAGGAGGGGGCCCAAAGCGGGGCTAGTGAGTGAGGTCCTGAGTGAGTGGGTCAGCGGCTGGGCCCCTTTCTCCAGCTGCCTGTAGCCCCTCCAATACTGCTGCCAGGGGGGCCCGCCTCCAGGGAAATGGGATAAGAAAGCAGCCTGCCCCTGCTGCAGACAGAGCCAGGTGGCTGAGGCCAGGAAGGAAGGCCAGGCCAGGCCTTGCCACCTGCCCCAGAGGCCTGTGGGAGAAGGACAGGTCAGGAACGGTGGGGATAGGGGCTCGACCGGCTCAGATCCAAGATGGTGCCAGGCTTGCTTGCTGAGTCCCCCATGAGCTGGGGCACCGCACTGGGGCCAGCGACTAGTTAGACAGGAGGCAGCAGCTTCTCAAGAAATTCCTTAACAGCTGCCATCTCCTGAGGGGATTAAGAGGGGATCACGAGAGGTTCCTGGCTGGAGGCAGAGAAGTGGGAGTGGGAAATGGTCCCCCACTGACCTGAGGACAGGAGCTGTGCATGACACCCGGGTATGTCTTGAACTGGACCCTGGCAGGTGTGACAACAGACCGGAGCTTCTCAGCCGTCAGGGCCCCAAACCGTACAGGCACCATGGGGTCCAGCTCCCCATGGCACTGGAGGATGGCCAGGTCCTTGGCACTGCCATTAGCTGCCTGGGGGCCGGATAGGACTCAGGGCAAAGCTAGTGCTGCAGCAGTCCCCAAGCCACAAGGATGCAGACCCAAAGGGTGGGGGGGTCAGTGGGGACATTCACCTGGGGGAAGGCCCGGTGCAGAGGCAGCCAACAGCTCAATGCCACGATGCCAGCCAGAGGGTGGGGGCAAGTGAGGGCCGTGTAGAGGGAGAGGGCCCCGCCCTGGAGGGAGAAGAGAGGAATCATGACGGCACAACTCACTCACCTGCCACCCCTACCCCCCACACCCCCACCCCTCTCCCCTCACCTGTGAAAAGCCTCCCAGGACGATTCGATTGGCAGGAATCCCGTTCTTCATTTCATGCTCAATCAAGGCCTTGACTGGGGGGAGGGGGCATGAGTAGGTGGGGGGAAGCTGCCAAGGGGCCCAAGAACGGAGCCAGGCTGAGGAACCGCCCAGAGCTTTCCTGGGGGGCAGGGGAAGGAGGAGGCAGAGGAGGGGCTGGGGTCTTACTGTTCTCTGCTGCCTTCTTGATGCCAGCCTCGTCCTCTGGGGCATCTGGACTCAGTCCCATCAGGTCAAACCTGGGGAGTAGAGGCACAGGCAGCTATAGAAAACCCCAGCCGGCCAGCCTCCTGTAGCTCCCTCAGCCCAAGTGTCCTCATCCCCCTGCCTAGCCCTGCTCCCAGACTCACCAGGAAGGCATCACCATCTTCATGTTGAGGGTCACAGGGATCCTAGGCCTGGGGAGACAGCCAGAGGGCCCAGCATGCTCAGGAGGAATGACGAGGCCACAGCCCACAGCCCAGAGTGGGGCCGCGCCGCCCCTGGGGGCCCTCCCAGCAGGCAGGGCCTGTGTTTAAGGTGTTGCCAGGCAACCTGCCACGTGGGGCTGGAGGCTGTGGTTGGAGCAAAGCACCAGCGATGGAGAAGCAGAGCCCAGCGCTTGGTGTGCCGGGGTCCCAGCTAGTCAGTGAGTACTTGGGGAAGGGGCAAAGGGAGGTGTGGGTTCTAGGAGAGCTCAGGTCTAGGAGGCCCTAGAGCTGGGGGTTGGTGCTGGACCCCACTCCTGGGGGCTCCACAGGAGCTAAGGCTGAAAATGCCACTTCTGACTGCCCTGAGCCCAAGCCCCAGGATGCAGCTGACAGGAGAGAACAGGCCTGGGATGCCAGGACCACCCCCAGATGATCCCCAGCCTCAGCCCCTCCCTTGCTGGGGTGACACTCACGCATGGGGACAGATGTACTTGACGTGAGGGAGTCGGATGGTGGAGAGGGCGTCAGCCCAGCTGTGCCTGTAGGAGGGACGGGAGAAAAGGCTCTGATGTGGTAGAAAGAGAAGGGGACGGACGTACAGGCCTCTCCAGTCCGCTGCTGGGCCCAGGCCCCCTCCTTAAGAAGCACCCCTCCTCAGTCACTTACCCTGTGTCTCCAAGTCCATGTAAAAAAATAACCTGGAAAAGGATGGAAATGGGGAGACAGGAAGGTTCCCTCTAGGTTCTCCAACTTCTGCCCACCCCTCCCCCACCCCCAAGGATCTGGAGGAACCCAGGTAGCAAACAGGTTACTACTCTGAGCTTCCTGGCCTCAGGATACTCCCTGCTCATCATTGCCACCTCCATTTTTCCCACACCCCCTCCAGCTGGTCCTCCAGCTGCTCCCACAGTGTCTGGCCGTGCGTGAAAGGGGACCCTTACCGCGGCCGTTTCCCGCTCAGCTCCAGACACGGTGGCAGCATCGGTGAGCAGGGGCACAGACATGGTGTTACCACACATACACCACACGGCTCCACGGCGGGGGCCTGCACACATTAGGGGTGGCGGTCAAGAGCAAAACCAGACACAGGACACACTCCTGGCCCAAGAGGCCACCAGGCCATCAGCCCCACACAGCACCCAGGTTCTGTCTTGGGCACAAATAGGCAAGAAGTCCCAGGGCACAGGGGAAGGAAGTCTGCCTCAGTTCCAGGGTTGAAAGGCAAAGGCAGCCACCCTAGTGGCCCAGAACATGTGTCTCTGGTTCTGGCCCAACCACAGGATCTGAGCTTGCTGGAGACTGGCAGAGGCAGGGCACAGGGACTGTAGGGCAGGGGGCAGAGGGGAGGCAGCGGCACGCCTGCTTCATTCCCCCTCTAACTCCTCAGGGGTCAGTGCCTTCCCCCTCCTCTCCAATCATCCCTGGGTCCCTGCCTCCCCAGCTCCCGGCCCTATGGGAAATACAGAGAAAAATGCCAGGGAAAGGAGCTTCCATCCCCTACTCAGTGCCGCCTCCAACCCCCATCTCAAACCTCCCCTGACCCAGCCCGCATCCAGCCTTCACAGCAGTTTCTGGCCCATCCATTCCCAGACCCCCAGGGGGCTGCCCATGTCCCCAGATAGCGTTAAGAACTCCACCCAACCCCAAACTGGTGCTCCACGCCCCCCTAAACGGAGCTACCTGCTGCTGCTGCCACTGACTGCAAACGAGCCCCGGCTTGACCACGCTCTGGGACTCCCAAACACACAAAAGAATGTCAGGCTGGCTGGCCCCTCCCCATCCTCCAAACTCGCCGGCGTCCTCCAAACTCGCCGGAAGCTTCCACTACCTGCCTCCAAGTGCCTGCCCACCCCTCCCAACTGGCCTCACCTTCCATCTCTGGCCCCTGAGGGCAGCTCCCCACAATGGGATCATTCACCTGTGACCCGGGGCTCCTCTTCCCACTGGGGAACGCACCTCCCGCCCTGAGCTGCGATTCCCTTCCTTCTCCACCGTGGGGACTTGCACCTCCCGCCCAGGCTCCCTCCTTGGGGCCCAATCTGTCTCCTTCTACACCTTGAGAACTTCCACCCTGACCCAGGATCTCCTGCTCTCCACAATGGGAACTTCTGTTCTGACCAAGGGTCACCCTCCCCAGTAACATTTTCTACCCCGACCCGGGACTCGCACCTGCCCACAATGGGGCTTTGCACCTTTGACTCTGGGGAAGCCCCCGCCCCACAATGGGCTCTTCTACTTTCGACCCCGAAGTCTGTCCCATTATACCCAGACACCCCCTTGCCTAGCCCCACTCCACTCCCGAAGTCCCCAAGACTGGACAGCGCCTTCGCACCTCACTCCCCACCCCCATCCTCCCCTATCGCGGTCCCCCTCCCCGCTCTCCGGGACCCTCCCAAGGCCGACCTCCCCCATATGCCCTTCCTTCGCAGCCGCCGGCTGGCTACCTCCACTCCCTGGGGCTTCCGAGGCCGCTTGGGCAATTCTCCTCTTTCTCCCGCAGACACACACTCTTCCCCCTCGGCCGCCCCCGCCGGAACTTCCGTTCGAGTCCCGGGAACCCAGCCATCGCGCTGCCGGAAGTAGCCTGGCCGGCAGTACGGAACCCGGAAGCGGGGACCCGGCTTCGCTGGATAGAGGCTGCCATGTTGGAGGCAGTGGGGCCACTCCCTGTCATTCAGTCGTGCAGTCGCTGGGTTCTCTCCCGCTCCCACCTTGTAGAATCGAGAAAGGGCACCCAAGACTCCCACTTGCTACCACCACCCATGCGCCTCCTGGAGGAGGGCTGACCGGAAGGAGAGGCATCCCTCACACTATTGTTCGCATAAACTTTACCACCTTGCCATCCCTATGGGACACACTTCTTAAGGTCTCGGGTGTCTGCCACTGGCTTTCATGCCCTATTCCAGGATCATGAATGCAATGACACACTCCGAACCGAACAGAGGTTACAGATCTAGTTCTCCAGCCTTAAAGATGGGGAAACTGAGGTTCAAGGAAGCAAGTAAACAGCGACCTCGGGATTCCATTGAAATTCTGCCTCTCTGGATCTGCTTCCTGAGATATAAAATAACCACCTTGCCTCCTTCACGGCTTTGTTGGTAGGTTTAAATGAGGTTGTGTAAACATGCTTTATACAGTAAAATCACAGCATGATGCGTTAATCACGCAAAAAAGGACCTAGGAAAAATACAAAAGCCGTATCAGAAGAGCTGGACAAGCACTGGCAGTGTTAGCGCTGCCCTTCACAAGCAATGTCATGCAGACAGTGCACAAAACGCTGCCTTCAAGCTGAAGTGGAAATAGGTATCAGGGACCACATAAAAGTCAGAAGGGAGGCAAACTGAGTTGAAGCAGCATGTCCCTGAGAATGTGTGGGGATCTGCAAATAGGAAATGAGTCACACTTGCCCCTCAGTCACTTAGGACTCACTCTGCCAGCTTAACCTATACTAGTGTTTTCTTTGAACAGAAAGAAAACAGTACAAAGTTGAAAGCTCAACGAAGCACTTCCCCCAGGCCCAGAGGCAATTTGGTCCTAAGTACTCAACAGGTCAGGGAGCCTACAATACCAGGATTCAGGGCAGAAAACTTTGGGCCTAGGGGACCACCACAAGCCAAGGACTCGGGACTGAATGTCAAAAGAAAAAGGAGGGTAATGTCCCCACTTACGGAAGAATGAACAGTTCCTCCTGCAACCTCAATCACCTGAGACACCATGACACTTACAACAAATTCTTCAGTGAAGCTTCAAATTCAGAGGTTCAGTCCCAGGAGCTGTGATTAATGCTTTAATTAGTGGAATTAGTGAGGGGCTCGTCTGCTCTAAGATTTCTAACTTTATTTTTCCCCCTACTCCAAATTTAAACATAGCCCTTCTTTTAACTCCAAAAAATGATCCAACTGAAATAAAGAGGCTGTGGCTGAGTGAATAGGACCCTTCGTGCTTTTCAAGAACAGCATTTGTATTCTGATTTATTTCAGGCTGCATTTTAGAAATTTTGAGGGCCAACAAGGTTTGGTGGTGGCAGAGTTTTCCTAGGACAGGCTGGAGAAACAGTGGCTATATCCTCCAAACAGCAGCATGGGCCAATCCCTCAGACGAATTCTCCCAAAAGGATCAGATTCAACACTAATTCCCTTTATCACCTGTTCCTGTTTTCTGCAAAGGAAAGAATACTGACCATATCAAATCCCGTTTTTAGATACTTACATTCTCTTCAATTGCTAAACTGAGTTTTAAGTCCAAAGTCTTTGGTCCACTGGCAGACCACATGAGCTGCTCAATTACTTTCTTCACCCTCATTTCTTCTGATAAGCTCCAGAATCGGTTCTCCCTCATTTTTGTAAATGTCATTCTACAAATTACTTCCCTTGTGCAAAATGAAATATAGGGTTTTTGTTGTTGTTGTTTTGAGACAAGGTCTCACTCTGTCACCTCAGGCTGGGGTGCAGTGGCACAATCATGGCTTACTGTAGCCTTGACCTCCTGGGCTCTAGTGATCCTCCCACCTCAGCCTCCCAAGTGGCTGGGACTACAGGTGCACACCACCATGCCCAGCTAATTTTTGTGAAATACAGGTTTTCAACCCCACCTTCTTCTTTACTATATATGGGTGTAGGAGTGTTTTTGGTCTACTGTACAAAATTAAGCTTGACCTTTCCTGGAAAAACTGATCCAGTCTTGATTTAATTGTGGCACTTCCTATAATCTACCTAGTCCAAAACAACAACAAAAAATTTCAAAGTTCAGTACAGTTCCCCATGACATGAAAGTTGCATCACTGCTATCAAGAACTCAAAAGAAAATACAAACATTAAGTCTGGCAAGGATTTATTAGGAAGCTTATTAGTCACAGTGAATAAAAGCCATGAAAAGAAGAACTCAGATCTCCAAATTCTGGCATTGGACTTACAACACTAGTTAGAAGCTAATAAACATTAAGGAAGTTCCAAGGGAAATCTTAACTAAGTCTCAATCTTACCGACCAGATTACCCACACACACAGAAATGATCCCCATGCTCTCCCCAGACTGCTTAGCTAGGCAGTGGAAAAGACCTTCTCCCCAAGCTTAAGCTATCACGCATCAGCAGGAGACTCCTGATCTTCTAGCTATAACCACAGGACACATGTGCGTGACAGACAACTCCAAGCTGGGCAACTTGACAAGAATGCTGAACAATGAGAGGGGAAAGGAGCAAGCAGGAACAAGTGTTTTAATTGGAGACCCTCCTGATGGCTACTATTAACACAATCCTGAGGCGTCAGAAAGTTTTCTATAACCCACAAAGTTTCCTTTAAAAAAACAAAACAAAACAAAACAAAAAACAAGTCACACAACAATCCTGCCACAAAGCAACATGACACTTGGAATCACATGGCCACATTGACTGGAAAAGCAAACGTTATCCATGACTGCCAGATGCTACCCAGCCCAAGACCCAATTTCCACAGCGCCCTAGAGAACAACGATGGTCCCCTGGCACCTACACAACCCTCCCAGTGGTATCGTATCTTCCGTAGTCCAGGTTTCTGCAGCAAGCCCCAAAGACAAAGCTTGGCAGAGGCTGTGGCAGCCAACTCTCTGTGGAGCCTCATCCCTTTGTCCTTCCCAACAGGTAGTCGTACATCTTCACTGACACAGCACCTCTATGGGAGCCTTGGCCAGCCCTTAGGAAATAAAGTGTGTCTGTGGGGTAACCTGATGGACCCTATGGTCTGCTGGGTTGGCAGATGCTTCGTAATTGCAGATGGTCACCTCGTGTCGGCGAAGCTGCAAGAAAATTAAGGCTGGGTCAGCCAGCCATTAGAAGAACTGTCCTTTCCCACACCACACACATTGCAGTAGTCCTTATTCAGGTTCATTTCTAGGGGTCATCATTTAATATCGCCTGATTTTAATACTTAGAAGTCATCATCTAATATCTCCCAATTTTGATACTTTTTAACTTCAGAAAGCTGCAAAGATCATTATCAATGATTCACCTTGTAACTCTGAAGATTCAGTCTCTCTACTATAATGGGGGTACCATGCGAACAGGAACCTGTCTATCGTATTATCTTATCCCTGGTGCATGAATAGAAAAGATTATCAAAAATACTCAATGAAAGCATTTGAAAGGAGAAAACTGTGAATATAAATGACAATTTCAGGCTGGGCACGGAGGCTCACGCCTGTAATCCCAACACTTTGGGAGGCTGAGACAGGCAGATCACCTGAGGTCAGGAGTTCGAGACCAGCCTGGCCAACATGGCGAAACCCCGTCTCTACTAAAAATACAAAAAAATTAGCCAGGCGTGGCAGCAGGCACCTGTAATCCCAGCTACACGGGGGGTGGGGGCTGAGGCAGGAGAATCACTTGAACCCAGGAGGCAGAGGTCGCAATAAGCCAAGATATATTAAAAAAAAAAAAGATATATATATATATAAAATATATTTAAGGGGGTTGAATAACAGTTTCAACCCCCTTAAAAATACCTGTAGTTTGTCAAATGAGACGAAAAGTTCATACTGATAAAACCAAGAAAAATAACAAACTGAGGGTAATTGTGACACTTGCTTTTTTCCCTTCCGCTCCCATCACCACAGTGTGTAGATATGTAGACATGAGGGCACAACCTTTCCAACCCCATCTTACCTCAGTCCACTCTCCTCTCAGGCCAATATAAAAGACCTTTGTCGTATCTGCTCCGAAGTTTTTTGAAATATGAATTGAGAGATGATAGACATTTGAAAAACGAGAAATTCTAGGGGATGACAGGAATAGGGAAAGAAGGTATGAATTATAGTTCAATGAGTATCTCACCACCATGTAAAACAATAATTCAGCTCCAGCTTGTAAAAGCCAGGCAAAGTCAGAGCTCCTGAGTCCTTCCTTCTCCTTTGGACAGGCAATTAATTCAATGACCATTTACTGAGCACCTGCCAGATCCTGTCCAAGACAGTAGGGATAAACACTGCTCCTGCCCTCAAGGAACAGGAATGAGAAATGCTGCATAACCCAGCAGGGATTCTAAAGCACATTTAGTGTTAACCTAAACTGGGAGATACATCTTTCCTAAAACCACCCTAGGAGTTCATTCAGATCTGCCAATTGCTTACAAGTTAACAAGTCTGTGGCTTGCACTGAAATCTCTGCCAAAAATTGACCAAGCCGAAGATCCAGTCTCCCCCACTGTTTTAACTCATTTCCAATGCTAAGAGAGCAGGAGACTGGCCACAAACAAATGGCAAGCCCTATAAGAAGCCACAGAGAATGGAAGACAGGCCCAGTGCTTACTTTGTAGCATACTCTAATTCTCCTGTAAGATCCCGATTCAGACTAAAGGTCTGATCTGGCTCCCTTTCTGTATCATCAAAGGACATCTGTGGAATATTCTTGTACCTGAGAAAGGAAAGGAAAGAAAAGTCAAGAAATGTGCATTATCACATGTTTCAGGTTTTCAAAACTTTCTACTGACTGCTTAAATGGTTTTGGTTCTATCAATAGGAGACTGAATTTGGGAGTCAAATTTTAGAAATAACATTTTATACAAGTATCTCCAAATTTTTTTTTTTTTTTTTTTTTTTAGACAGAGTCTCACTGTGTCACCTAGGCTGGAGTGCAATGGTGCAATCTCAGCTCACTGCAACCTCCACCTCCCAGGTTCAAGTGATTCTCATGCCTCAGCCTCCTGAGTAGCTGCGACTACAGGTGTACGTCACGACGCCCAGCTAATTTTGGTACTTTTAGTAAAGACACGGTTTCACCATGTTGGCAATGCTGGTCTCTAACTCCCAACCTCAGGTGATCTGCCCACATCGGTCTCCCAAAGTGCTGGAATTACAGGCATGAGCCACTGCGCCCAGCCTACAAATATCTTTAATCCAACAAAAAAAGAGCTGAGATCTGCAACATAACCCCATGGCATCTTTGAGTGGGTTAATACCACATGAGAAGCAATACACAAAGAGACGGCTCAAACTAGGTCACATGCAGCAAATGCATGGAGAAAATAAACAACTCAGCACATTCAGACCAAACTGAGGATGTTATTAAATAAAACAGCTTACTCATGGGAAAAATACATACTTTGGCAGAAACATATTACAGTTAAGAGATAAAAGATCAGGTAACCCAATGCTCAATCATTTTGTGTCCAAAAATTACGCCATACACTCAGTCACCTTACAGTTCTTAAAAAATTTATAACATGGGGATTTCCATTTTGAAAGAGCACAAAAGACTGCAATCTCACATCTAAACCGCTAGAGAGGGTGCAGTGAGCCGAGATCACACCACTGCACTACAGCCAGGATGACAGTGAGACTCCGTCTCAAAATAAATAAAAAGTAAACTGCTAGAGAAGAAAATGTTTTTCAAAGAGTAATCTAAAAAGTAGCTGTCTCTATAACCCACAAATTCCCAAAGACTAAGCCACATGTCCCCACCAATTCCAGGGTGTTTTATTAACACACCCACACAGAAGAGGCCTCGATATTAGTTGAAGCAAAATCATGTAATTTAAGAAA